TATTAAAATTTTATTTTTATAAGATTCAATTCAGCTAAATTTTAAATTAAAGAAAACTAAACACGTGTAAGTAACATAATTTATTAATAAAAATACACCTTCCTAAATATAACCTAAAGCTATTTAAATAATTTTTAAAAATTATTTCGTTTCAAAGTCAGTTTTGCTTGCAATTCTGGTTATTCTCCAACACTACTTTCTCTTTGCTTCCTAAAAGGGGATTCCAGCCAGCACATACATTCTTTGCTCCTGAAATGGGCAAATTCAAGGTGCAATGAAAGAGTGACTTGAAGAAGCTTTCACAGAGGCCCATTTTGCTTGTGCTTTTAAGAAGAAGGATAAAAAACAGGATTCAATTTTAAGCAAGGTTTTTATTCATCTCGATTTAACATATTTAAATAAGGACAGAAGAGTTTAACAACAAAATAATTTTACGTAAGGAAGAATAAAGACAATTTTGTATAGAAAAACGCTTGTGAAAATCAATGAACGGAATAATTAACATTTTAAGATTAAATTTTAAATTTTCTATGAGTCATCAAAACTGAACTATTCATTAAAGGATGAATAACTAATGCATATTGAATCACATGTTTACTGATACTGGACAAAGTAAAATTAGGGGGAGTACACATCCGATTCAATGGCAACGTGGATTCTTAATCTAATCTGTAGTATTGCATAGCTTTGCTTTGCTTGCCTTTCACTCTTCTCTGCCAAGGATGCAAACAAAATCTCAGATTATCTCTCAACTTTTTTTATTACACTCCTTACTACTTGAATAATTTAGTCGTCTGAAGTCTCTCATTCATTTTTCCAGTCCCTTCAACCTCACAAAATTTTTAATTTCTGTGATAAAAATTACTCCTACATATAATACATATAAAAAAATAATATTGACTAACATTTTGTTTTTCTATATAATTAATGAACATTAAAATTGCTTTTCATCATATTAACTTGTTAACTTATGGGAACCCTGTTTGGAAGAGATATCATTAGGGGATTTGTTTTAAGACACAGGTTAGACTTTATTAAGTATAGTATTTATAATTAATTTTATATAAATTTTTATATCAGATTTATAATTTTTTATAAATTTTGAGTATAAATATAATATTATATTTTATTTTAATTTTACATTTTATATTTTATTTTAATTGAACTTGGTATAAAAATTTGTATAGAATTAATTATAAATACTGCATTTAATGAGGTTTAGGGTATATGTTAGAAAATTCCATCATTAAATGAGAAAGAATCTTAATATCAAGAGCCTAATTCTCATTTAATATTTAGTGTTCCAAACTGGGCAACACTTTTTTTTTAAATTATTATTAGAAAGGAAAAAACTAAAAAGGAATAATATTCAATTTAAAATAAATTTTTTATTTGTCTTAATTTAATTTAATTTAATTTTTTTAATTTTAAACTACATAATAAAATATAATCCTCTCTCATCATTTTGTTCATCTTTCTCATATGCCTATTACTTAAGCTTAAAATCTTTTACTCCACTAAATGAAAATTACCATTGAACCACTTAAGTTATTATCATCTTAATTTAACGTTTGAATTAAAGACAAGAACAGGAGAATAACAAAATAATTATAATTATAATGAGTTTGGATTGAGGTTTCGGAAGGAAGACAGGAGAAAAAAGAATTGCCATTTATTTTATTGATTAGAAACCAAGTTAATGGTTATAATTGCTCAATACTAGATATAAAATTAATATCGGTACTTTTAGCATTTAAATAATCTTTTAAATTGTTAAAAATTTTAAATTTAAACTTTAAAATGAGTGAAGAGGGATTAATAAAAAATGAATTATTATTTTATAACTTAATATTTAATATAATAAAATTAACATCAATACATTTTTTTAAACAATTTTAATCTTGACGTAAAATCAGTGTAAAAGCTAGCAGCCAATGGAGTACTGATGTCTCATTATCGGGTAGCTAGCACTATGTGCGTTGCTAGAGCCCAGCTTTAGATAGCAAAATAAATATGCAAAGACGTTGCTTTATCAAATTAAGTGTATTCCCTAAACTTTTAAAAATTTTCTCCATTACAACAAGGCTGTTGATATATTTTTACATATTAATATTATAATAAAAAATAAAAATTATATTTTTAACTTTTAATTTTTGGGATATGATTCTTGACCAGCTGAAGGTGCAATTCACCCCTTTCAGATGCATTGTTGTGGCAGATGACCCCTCCAAAATTTTAGTTGCGGCCCTCTCCAATTACATAACAATGCACATTACTTGTGAATCTCATATCATACCCACCTCAAACCAAGTTACCTTCCAATCTGAATTGTAGAAGACATCTGTAGATCTCACGCTTGGTTGATCAGAAGCAACAAAGAACACATCTTCCTCCTCAGATGAAGAAAATGGCCGCAAATGTCCTGGATTGTCACTATCATTATAATCAGTGTCCCCACTATTCCTGTTATCAGAATCTTCATCATCAATATCAACAGGGATATCCTTTTGACTGCATACAGGATCACCCTTTTTTGGTTTTACAGGGGTTGAGATAGAATCTCCTAACTGGACGAATTGGAGATATTACCTTGTACTTTTTGACCCCTGCCTCTGCCTTTTCTTTCTCCTCAACAGTTTTCACTTTCTTTATATTAGTCTTAGGGATTGAAGGACCTTCAATTTCTGCTTCTTTCTCTGTTGTGATCCTCCTTTTCACAGGTAGTTTAGATGGTGGATCAGCCTCATCATCATCCTTGGCCCTTGCCCATTACCAAAATGATGTGGCTTGAGTTGACACAGTGACTCTTTCGTCATCATCCTAATCACTCCCAATAGGACTAATTAATCCTTCATCAGAGCAATCAAACTCATTAAAAAACAATTCATCTTCATTGAACGCTAGAAATAGAAATTCTCAACTAGAGAACAGAGAGAAGATGAATTGTTTATCAATTAATTCAATTCTGAATTTAATATACACAACTATAATTATTTACCAATTAATTCAACTTTTTAAGTTACATCAACAAGTTGATCCACATCAACGTCAATCTCAATTCGCCTCCAACTCCAATGAAAACAGGTAGCCCCGAAGGAAAAACACATCTAGACACCAATAGAAACTACTAACTTCTAATTTATTTGAAATAAATTATAAGTC